CCAGGGCGGGCTGCGAGGGAGGGACGCGGGCCCCGCTGGCCGGACTGGGGGTGTGACCGCCTTCTCCCCCAGCTCGGAAAGAAAACTTCTTTCTCCCGTGGGACGCCCTCTGTGCCTCTCCGGCGCCCGCTCCCTTAGAGAGAAGAAAAGAAAAAGACCTCCCAGACCTCCTCTCCCACCTCGGGGGTGATAACTTCCGGCCGGGGTTCCCAGATCCTTTTTTTTTTTTTTTCTTCTCTTCTTATGGATACAGAACTGGTTTCTCCAGTTACAGAGCCTGACTTTCCAGTATAAATAACGGATTTTTAAAAGATCTTAGCGCTGAGGATGTAAAAAGGACAAAGGATGTAGTTTGAAACCGCATGATCTACTAGTCCAGCCCCAAAAACAGAGGAACTTGGGCAAGGGCAGCATGAGGCTGAGCCTCTCAGAGCAGACACTGGCCCACCACGGTCCCTGAGGCTTTCTTTCCTCCCCTTGCCTTTCCCAGCGAGCTGCTGCCTGTGCGGCCCTTGGTCCCAGGCAGAGAGGACCTGACCTCCCTGCTGCCTTTGTATCTGGCTCCTTTACGTGGCCTCAAGAAAAATACCGAGGACTGTTTAGAATTCTAACTGAAATGTCATTACGGCTCTGGGAGTGTCCTCTGTTTTGGTCTTGGTTTCTCCATCTGTACAATGGAAAGTGATGGCCCGTGTTCCTCCCAGCTTCCTGGTGATGATGTGACAAAATGAAAGTAAAAATAATGGAAAGTGCTTTGAACAAAGTCAGCATCGTGGTAGTGTTAGCCTGTGCCTTCCTGTGAAAGACGCAGGACGTGCCCTCTCAGGGATGTCCTGGAGGGGAGACTGGGCTGTTGCTACCTGGACATTGATTTAGAGTTTCGATGAAGGTTGAGACGATTAATCTCCCTAAATTTCAATTGAGTTATATTTCTACTATCTCATATTTCCCCTCTGGTATTTGAGTTAGTTGATCCAGCCTAGGGGTGTTTCCTAAAATAAAATAAGAAGTGTTTTCCCCACCAGTAAAACCTCAGCTCCATATTCAGCAGTACTCCCATCATTGCACACTGCCTTGTCTTTGTGAATTTCTAAGCCACTGGCCTAATTTTGAGAAACTAAGTAACAGTAAGAAAGGAAGAGGAAAAAGAAGCTTCCAAAAACCTGCAGGAGATGGATCCTGGAGTGACTTTGATTTTAGATTTCTTGCAACACTGTTTTGTTAGTTTCTGTGGGAGGAGTCAAGAACATGAAAGAACATTTCCTAAGTGTTTTTTGTAGTAGAAAAGTAACCAAGGAACACTGGTATTTGGTGACATTTTGTCAGGGACATCCAGGAATGGAAAGCAGGTGTCTCTAGCTGGTACTCGGGCAGTGTTAGCTGAGGGCCTAATCTGGTTACTGGATGGGTGGGAGGAATGCTGACTTGGGGGGCCCTGGTCGGGAGAGGCTGAAACAGGAGTCTCCTTCCTTCCCTGGCTGGGAATCCCCACAGATCCATCACTAGGAGGTGACTGTTAAAGAGGGAGGGACCTGGGTTAGGGGAAAATAAGGTAAGAATCGGGGCCTTAAATAACTCAGATTTTCCTCTTGGGCGCAGTAGGTAAGACTACTGGTCTTGGCTCTGCAACCTTCTGCTTAATTCATTTGGGGAAGTGAATGTCATGGGAGGTTCAGGTGTCTCAGATGGCAGAAGACCCAAGCAGGATCTGTACTTGTGTTGGGTGGTAGCTCAAACAGTGTCACTTGGGAAAACAAATAACAAACAAATAAATCAGCATGAGGTCACCGGGTGAGCCCATGTTTTTGTTTTATTTTGTTTTCTGGTTTTTTGAGACAGGGTCTCATTGTGTAGTTGAGACTGACCTGGAATTCACTATGTAGCCCAGGCTGGTCTCGAACTCACAGCAATCCTGCCTCAGCCTCCCGAGTGCTGGGATTACAGGCATGTGCCACCGCATCCAGCTGAGCCCAGGTTTTCTAATAACCCCGGGCTCTCTTGGTCTGCTTGATTGGCTGCCACACATCACTAGGTACCAGTGCTTATTTCACAGGCAGCATGGTCTCAAGGCTGAAATGGCCTCCAGGCTGGTGCCCTCTCCAGCATCCTGCTAGGTGGTCACCTGTCCATGTGCTCGCATTCAGGAGGCTGTGCTCCTGCTGCACCAGTAATGCACTTTGTCTGAGAGCTGGGAAAACTGCCTGTGGCCCCTGCCTGCTGTGGGATACCAGAGGTCAGTGCCTGGCCTTATAGCTTGGGCTTGCAGGCCACCATGTCAGCAGCCAGGACCAGAGATGTCCTTTTCCTCCCAGTGGGCTATTTCTAGCCCATTTCCCCCTCCTGGCAGAGTTCAAGGTTCTCACTGTTGACTGACTGCATTCCATAGGTAGATTATTTGCCTGGGTTGGAGTCTAAGCCCATGGAGAATAGACTGCTGCTTTGTAGCCATTGTTAGGCTTTTGTGCCCACCTGCCACTCTGCTAGCTGTCCAGCTGCTATGTATTGCTGGTGTTTCAGCCAGTAGTGGGAAGTAGGCTGAGACCCAGAGGTTTCCTTTTTCTGTGTGGTTTCCTACTACTCAGGGCTTCCGAGCCACAGTTCTAAGCTGAGTACTAAATTTATTTGCTTTGATTTTTTTTTTCAATCCATAGGCCATGCTTTAATTATGAGATCTGCAGACCAGAAATGGAGACGGGTGTGAAGTCATAATGAAAATCCATGCAGAAAGGAAAGAACTTTCCCACCCAAAAGGGAAATGACGCTGAGTAGCTAAGCAGCCAGCCCAAGGAATAATAATCTTACAAAAATGCAACTCCCTAGAGTAAAGGAAGCACTTGCTTTGAGCCCAGCCCCTTCTGAGCTGTTAAATAGCTGTCGCCTGAACTGCTCTAACTTGGTGGGCCAACTTCGTCATTTCGATGGGCTGCTGCCAGAGCTCTACAAGGTGCAGTGAAGGCCCAGGCCTGACAAGAGGCAGCCCCTGGGAGAAGGGAGAGTAGCTTTCCCCCAGGAATGTGGCCCTCTCCTGGCTGGCTGCTTGCTTTGATGGAAGGTGTCCCAAGTGGAAGGCTGGTGGGGGAGAAAGGGCTCCATGGGCGTGCATGTTCAAAAGCACATCCCAGTCTTGGTGCAGGCCTGTAATCTCAGCTGTGGTGAAGTCTGAGACAGGAGGATTCCAAGTTCAAGGTCAGTCTAAGTAACTTAGCAAGATCCTGTCTCAGAAATAAAAAGGCCTAGGGATGTGGCTCAGTAGCAGAAAGCTTACTGGGTTTGATCCCCAGTGGTATGGAAAGGAAAAAAAAAAGCCACATCCTTTTAACTTTGCAGTAACCTGTTTATTGCTTTCCTCTACCTGTGTGCAGTTGTTGTGCCAGTATTTCTGCCCAGGGCTGACTGGTATGAACAGAGGGAGACGATGGTGCTCCTCCCCAGCGGGGGCAGATGCCTCTGCACTCCCAGTGATCCCTTTGCTTTCCAGCAGCCTGCCCAGCTGGCCGAGAAAGTGTCCTGGACACTGAGAAAGCAAAGAACAAATGGCAGTTGTGGCTTTTTTTGGTACTTACTGCCTTCTTCGGTGGCTTCCCTCTGTCCCCGTGTCCTTTTTATTAGGAACAGGAGGTCTTGGCTACAATGAATGCTTCTTTCTTCAAAGAATCCCAGGGAAGGAAGAGGGAAGATGGATTTTGGTCCTTCTTTCCACTCCCTAGCCTTTGAATACTCCTGCACACAGGGGGCTCTCTTGTGTGCTTTCACATTTTTTCTTATCCCATTTCACCCACAAAACAATCTTGCAAGCGTTATTGTTTCCCCTTTCCATTTGTGGGAAATGAAGCTTGGCAATGTTAGGTCACACAGGAAATGGAAGAGGCATTTGAAACACATTCTCACCAAACCCATTTGCTCCTTCCACAATACCACAAAGTCTTCTGTCTGTAGAATGGGGGGCGGGGCAGTGGTTCCAGAGCTTTGCAGTCCTCTCCAGATGATCAGTCTTCTTCCTCCCTTCCTCAGTTCCTTGCTCTTGCCTTTTTTATGGAAATTGGGGACCAGGATTGGGAGAAGGTGACAGTGGTCATTGAGACAACCTGTAGAGGAATTTTTCTAAAAATTTTTAATTGCCTGAGTTAAGACATCAAGTCCTTTTGCATGTAATGAGATGGCATTTTTTTTACAGATTGTGATTTTATGCTCCACTTATGGGCTAGTCTGTAGGTTATGGATGCCAGAGAAAGCTCCATTAGTTATGATCCAAACTGAAATGAATTGTGGACTCTCTTAGTGGGCTCTCTTCCTGGGAACCTGGGCAGTGGCTGATAGGAGGCAGGTACTAGTTGTCACGAGTACCGTTCATTAGAGGAGACCTCGAGAGCCATTCAGATGCTGTAAAATCACTTTCAGCATCTGCTCTTTTCTACCCACTCGCCATTCATCTTGCGTAGGCAGGAGTAAAGATGTTTCTAGCCTGTCTCTTCCACCTTTTTTTGGAGTTGGTCAGATGTTTCCATCTGTGTCCCCTGTGACCAATTTATAACTCAGGAAATATTCGCTGAGACCCAACTACATGTGAGGAGGTGCCAGGGTTCATGGGGCTTGAAGGTGCATCCGTGATGTCCCTAGGTGACATCTTGTTGGGTCACAGATACGATGCATTTATGATTCATAACTGAAGAACAAGATCGCACTGACCAAAGGAATGATGTAGCTAGAGATGGCTGCAGCACACAGAGCTGGAGACGGCAGGGAACTGGAAAAGGACCGTGTGGGGAAGGAGGGAGCTGATTTAGCTTGGGAGGTGACAAGGACATGGGCATATGGCGAGGTGGGAGGTTATTGGCATTAGCAGAATCCCAAATGTTGAAGAGGTTAAGACTTTTTCAGTGGAGATGATCAACAGCCGGGACCCCTGGAGGAGAGGACTTGAAGATATGAGCTGGGCCCTAGAATGACTAGAGCCCTCTGGAAAGGGGACTAGGGCTCATTATGAGGGCCTTTGAGGCCTGATTAGGGTGTTTGTTTCATGGCATCCACATTGAAGAGCATGTGCCAGCTTTGGAAGAGGGAGCAGGTAATTTGCCACTTTGTTGTTCATCCGTTCTTGGTGCAGGGCCAAACAGATAAACCATAGACAGATCTATCCTTCCGGTAGTTTCACTTCAGCTATAATAGAATCCTGGTGGCATTGGACCCCTGCTGTGAAGGCAAAGGCTGAAAATGGAACGGACTGAAATGGGGTGGGAGAGACTGAGAAGGCGAGAGATGCAAGGGTAAAGGTAAGAGTAAAGCAGGAGGACTTGAGACTGATGGACCAGAATGTCTGATTTGGGTGTGGAGAGGAGCTGCCGTACTTTTAGAGAGGCTACTTCTGTTTTCTCTTTTTGATATAAAGACTACAGCTGGTCTCAGGGGGAGAATTCTGCAGAAGTTGAGAATATGGAACTGAACTAGAGAGAAGCCAGGGCTAAGTTCAGCCTGGGGAGGGTGGCAGTCATTGAAGCCACTAAGGTAGAAGAAAACAGATCTGATGGGGTAGAGAGAATATCCAGTGGAGAGGGTGAGGAGGAAGAGGTTCGAGCTTAGGCACCAGCCAGACATGGAGGCTCAGTGAGAGCAGTCTGCAGGCTGGCTGTGGACCAGCACCAGATTTGTATTTTAGTGGAATCTGGGGCCTACTAACTTACCTGTGAAAGTAAGTTAACATTTTCCGCCTGGTCTGGTCCTTCCTGCAGGTACTAAGTCAAGGGAGTAGGGAGGTGGGGCAGGATGAGGCCTGAGGAAAGGACATTGGTCTGACTCTGAGCTGTTTGGTGGGGCCCCTCAAGAAGAGGCCAGGAAGAAGCCTGCCTGCTGTATGGTAAGCATGGGAGACAGCAGGTGTTGGCCTCCTTCCCTGCCAACATCAAAGTTTGACAGCGAAATGACAAAGGGAAATCAGAGCCAGAATCTTCGATCTCAGCCCCTGACTTTTCAGTTCCTTGTTTTTTCCATGTCAGGAATTGGCAACACCATTCACCTGGATACTTAATCCAGATCCTAGGGGTCACCATCCATTCCTCTCCTTTTCCTCTCCCACCATGTCCTTTTTTGGGGGTAGAGATGCAGGGCACAGTTCTGATTGATTCTGTTTCTGAAATACTGTCATGAGTTGATCTCTTTCATTTCCACTGCTTTTTTCTGTTCTATTTCATCATCTGCTCTTGCTCTCTCTCTGACAGTGCACAGAGAAACTGGAGTTATCGTCTTAAAATGTAATTCAGGTCACCTCCTTCTCAGGCTTCAAATCCTCCAAGAGCTTTGGATTATACTTGGAATAAAATCTAGCCCTCCTTTTTTGGAATGTGAGGTTCACAGGCCTGACCCTGCCACCTCTGTAGCCTCTTCTTGATCTCCTCCACACTTGCTGTGCACACCACTGCTTTTGTACATGTCAGGACGACTCCTGTCCTGGAGATTTGGCATAAGATGTCCCCCTGCCTATAACGGAAAGAGCTTGCCAGGTAGAAGGAACAGCCAGGCAAATGACTTAACGCAAGACCATGCTAGTCTTGTTTTTGAATTAGAAGGTAGGCAGGCAGGCCTCAGTGGCTGGGGTGGCTTTTTCATGGATGGCCGTCAGAACTGCAGAAAGGAGGTTAGATTGGTTTTCCAGGTCCTCTAGAAGGTACAGCAGCAGGGTTTGTACTACCACATGGCTTAGGGATGTCATTATGGGATCTCTTAAGGAGTTGGAAGACCATCTGCCAAAACTACAGAGGCCATGAAAATTGGGCACACTCCTTTTGCTTTCTGTGTTAGCTCTTGAACTTCATGGAACAGTACTAGCTTTCCTGTCTTGTAAAGTTGTCGAGGAAAATGTTCAGGTTGGATGGTATGGCAGGCGGGCAAGACTGTTTCCAACTCCTGGGATTGATTTTTGGGAGGACCTGAGAGTCTCTGCCCTCTGTGGAGAGCCCCAGTAACTGAACAGCCCATTTCTGTGTGAGGGAGGAGCTAGGCTGCTGGAGGCAAAGCTGCTGGAGCTAGAAGCTGGATTTGGTAAGTTAACATATACCTCCTTGCTGTCTCTAAGTCGGGAGGTGAAGACCAAAGAGAAAGATGGTTGAATAAGAGATCAAGGTCAGGCTTTCCATGTGGCCCTGTCAATTCTGTTCTTGGAACTGAAGCAGTCAGGGTGGTGGAAGGAGTAGCAAGAGTACAGGAGAGAGGTACCTGGTTGTTATCTGGAGAGTTGTTCCTTGGGCAGGACCAAGACTAGTGAGTGTCATGTTAGGCCTGTAGTGAAAAACATTCCATTTTCCTTCCCTGTATTACTGTTAGGAGAAGATGGAAAGAGTCTCAGTTTGGGGATGAGTTTCACTTTTATAGCCTCTGGGGCCACCATGATATTTCTTGCTGTCATGTGGTAAAAATTTGGGGGAGTCATTTTTTTACCACATTGTGGATGAGACCCCCATTTGGCTTTACAGTCACAGACCCTGGCTCGGGGGTCAAACAGACTCAGTTCAAATCCCAACATAGCCATTTGCCAACTGTGGAACTTTGGTGGTGTATTTAGCCTCTCTGTGCCTTCACTTTCTCATCTGTCAAATGGGATGTTCATGGAAAGAACCTGCTCAAGGGAATGTGCCATCTAATCCCGGTAAAACAGACTGCTTGGTGCCTGGGCAGCAAAACTCAACCCAAGGGCTGCTGCTGCTGCACCTTTAGCCAGTTTACAAGATCATGGTGTTGATGACAACCCCCTGTGTCCTCCAGGCATTTTATTGGATAGGGGACAAGTTTTGAACTTAAGAGTTCACGACCATCTTCCAGGGACTCTTACCTGGTCCTCCTCTTCCCTGAAGCCCTGCTGTCCTCATCCCTCGGTATCCCTAGTACTTGCCTCCTGAGCTCTACATAAAAAGATGAAAGAGGCAGATTTGAAGAATTGAAGTCACAGTTAGCAATTGCAATAGCCCCCACCTATGACCATCTGAGACCAGATGAACACATATGAAGCAATAGGATTGAATACAAAAAGTGTACGAGTTGTGGCTACAAAATAATAACCATTGCAAATCAGTCAGACCTGGCCGTGGTCACTGAGTGTTCTCCCTCAGATCAGAACCTTTGAGGGTACTGACATGCACTTCAGAGGTGTTTGAAGGAGTTCAGAGCTACCTTCAGATCCCCCAAGCCAGACACTGGTGCAGCTTTGCAGTCAGACCTCTCCTGGATCCAAATAGATCACTTGTCTCCATCCCCTGCATCATTCATTAGATTGAGCTTTGAATTTTTGTCTGCTTCCCAAATAATCCAAATCCAATATCAGGGAATGAAAATTTTGTCTTTATTCATAAAACCCAAGAGAATATTCTATAGGTTTTTAAAGAAATTAGGAAATTTTATAAAATGGCTTGAACAGTAACAACATTATTGGAATAAGCATTGTCCTAAAGGGATGTCTTTGAAGAGGATCATACTTAGTTGGGTAGGTGAATTCTTGTGGTGTGTTAGGAATCATCTATAGAGTAGTCATGCTTTGTGGTAATGGGGTACTGCTGACAGTAGCCCCTGGCAGAGTTAGAGAAGACAGATGGCCAGTGGTGGCTCAGGAGCGGTACTGCAGAGGGCTTTTGGACTTAACCCCTTCCATTGTTAGCTAGGTGGCATGGGGCAGCTACACTGTATCTGTAGGTCTTAATTTCCTCATGCCTCAGTGGGGAGAATAATGTCTGTCTCACTCCTAACAGCTGAGGAAGAACAAATACAATTATGATTGTGAAAGCTTTGTGTAAATATACATCCAGCAAGAGATTTTAGTCATAACACGGTGATCCCCGACCTGGGACAAATACTTTCATCTCTGTACCCACTTCCATATCTGTAAAACAGATAACATGAACCAGTGCTGTTGATGTTACAGTGTTATTATAAAGGTGGAATGAATTAATCCACATGGACATGCTTTGTAAATGTGTGTGCTGTGTTCACATAAGTCATTAATGCTTTCTGGGAACACACCAGGCATTATTACTCTACATGAGGGGGAAGCTTCATGAAGAAAATAGTCGTGGAAGGATAAATAGAAAGCTGGAGAGGAGGCAGAGAAATGGAGAACATTTCTAGCAAATCTTGGTGGCCTTTTCCAGTCCATCTCTATCTTTTCACCTGTCTCTGGTTGCCATGACTAATTTCTTCCCATCTCTTCTCTCCCTCCGAGTGAGATATTCTTTACAGTTCCACCCTTGACCTTCTACCTCCAACTCAGATCTGTGATCATTTGTGAAGCACTTTCTATGAGCCACAGCTTCTTGGAGGAGACACAGGAATGTGATCAGAGCCTGCATAGGGGCCTCTGTAGGTGCTCCCTAGAGCAAGGTGGACACCCCTGCTGCAGAACATGGATCAGAATCATCTAACAAGATAGCATAGGGGTACAGAGGGAGAGTGTTGTCTTTGGGGAAGGCTTTTTGTAGGTGCTGCTCTCTGAGGTGGTTGTGAGAAACCAATCAGATTTTGCCAGAAGGCCAAGGGGCAGGAAGGGGGACATTCTAGGTAGGAAAGACTGTGGAGGGAAGACAGTGCAGCTTCACCTGTTTTCTCTGAATGAACAATTGCCAGAATAGCTTTTCTTCCCATCAGCAACCCAGTTCCATTCCTTCAGCTATTTGCCAACATTTTTTCACGAGCGTTTATGGTCCTTCACTTTAAACCAAGAGATAATAGTTATAGACACAAACATGTTACCCTTCCTGCCCCAAAACCTGCCCTCCTTTGCTTGCTTGTAGTTCCTTTAATCTCCCATTCAGCACTCAAACCTGGATTATCTCTGTCTCTTGCTGCCTTCTCTTGTCTGCTTTTATGCATGCTCTAATCATCACTGATGCTAACTTCCCATGATCTCTTCGTTTCTTCTAAATCCTGCCAGATCTCTGAACTACACTGTACAGTGGGCTACTAGGATGTACCATCCCTGTCTGTACCAAGGAAGTGTAGTGTGGATCCAGATGCCCTTGGTGGGGCACCCTTGGAGCCCACCTGGAGGAAGCCCAGATCTGGCCTTTCTGGCTTTGGCTTTGAGTACACCTTCCTGTTTCTCTGTGTTCTCTGTCTTAGCTTTGCTCTTTCTTTCTTGTCTTTTATTCTTCATGAATTTTTTTTTTCTTTTTTGTTTGTACCGGGGATTGAACTCTGGTCCTTGAGCTTGCAAGGCAGGCACCGGAACCACTGAGCTAAATCCCCAGCCAATTTTTCTATTTTTTTTAATTGGATTTTCTTTGGAATCAGACAGACCTGTGTTTGGGTTCTATTTTACTATTTGCTGTGTAACTTTGGGCAAGTTACTATACTACTATCCTATTATACCTCCGTTTTCTTATCTGAAAAGCAGGGATTAGTAATGAGATTGTCTTGAAAGCCATACCCCTTCATCCTACCATGAGGATGAGCTGAGACAATTCATGTGACGTGCTGCTGTGCCTGGTACATGCCACATAGATTATCATATTTTATTATTACCCCACTCTGATAATAGCTTTGTGTGTAAGAGAGTGTGTGTGTGTGTGTGTGTGTGTGTGTTACTAGGGTTCAAACCCATAGCCTCACATATGCTAGGCAAGCACTGAACTATGCCTCCCAGGTGTATTTTTTTAAAAATATATTTGCTAGCCTTGTTTCTTCCTCCTTCTGTGAATTTCTTTTTATTTATCTTTTCAGCCCTTTTCCTTCCTCTATTTTTTTCTTAACTGCCCATTATGGCATACGACTTTTAAAATATTGTTTATATTTGAATAGAGATCATTTAAAAATCATACTGGCAAACTTTTTACTTCTCTCTTCAGTAGACTCTACTCTCCTGCCCTCCTCAGAGAGAGCCAGGCCCCAGGTTCCCCTGCCTTCTCCAGACCAGACCGCTGAGCCCTTTGTGCTGAAATATTCTGCTGTGTCCATTTTTCAAAAGTCTTGAATGGTTGAGACAAATTATATTTCTCTGATTTCCTTTGAGTCCTTGGCCACTTCACAGAAGTCTGTAGTATAAATGAACTGCAGAACTTACACAAAGCCAGCCCCCAGTAGTGTGTCCATGTTTAAAAGCCCTAGACCCTCACTCAGTCAGCTCCACCGCAAGCTCTGTGCAGGCCCGCTTCACCCTGCCCCTCCTCAGCACGCTCCTTTCCCGCTTCCTCCTCGGAACCAGGATGTTTTTCCTTGCCTTTTCATTGTTTTGCTAACCTGGCAGGTCTCCTTTGGCGGAGCCCTGCACCAGCTTCCTCTCTGGTTGTGAGTGAGCATTACAGTGGCAACACAGGAGCCTGGAGGCCTACTCCTGCCTGTGCCTCTACCACCCTTCACTGTCCTAGGGCTGGAGGCTTCTGGCCTCAGGTGCCCTTCACTGAGGGTGCTCCCTTTCAGCCATTCTGTTGGGTGTCTGTTTTTCACAGATGGAGAGGGATGAGGAAAATGGAGGCAGCAAGTTAGGTGCTCCCTAGAAATAGGCTGCTGCTTACAGACTGAACTGACTGAACGGGACTCTTCTGATCTTCATCCCAGTGGTTTTTTGTTAAGGGGAGAAAAAAACCAAATACACAAAAGTGTGGGATTATTTTTAAAGCAGAGTTGAGGTCACATCAAGGTCGTTTGTCTTTCCCTGTGGCCTGGGGAGGCTGAATTGCTCCTTAGTGCATCGAGGCCACCTCAGGGCTAGTTCTGTTTCTGTAAGGCTGAGCCCAGAGTCAGGCTCCCGGCCTCAGTGTCCCTTACCTCAGTCCAACAGATTCTGTTTGTCCCAAGAGAGAGGACAGGTTGCTTTCCATTGAACAAAAGCCAGCTCCCTCACAGGGAGATGATGGCATGCCTCTGAATATCTACCTTCTTTATCACTAGACCTGTTGCAAGGGAAGATATTTAAAAATTGGATCATCATACCTCAAATCCAAACACTTCACAGTGTGTGTAGTTTTTCTTAGGGCTGCTCCTTTCAGTGTAAGAACAAGGAAGGAAACAAAACTCCCTGAGAGCCCTGGACAGTTTAGATCGAGCTGAATCTTTTGTTCACACAAACTCATTTGGCTCCTAAACGTCCTCCACCCCAAATCATTACATCCAGGGCAGCATTTCTAAACAGCCCAGAGTGGCTGAGCTGAGTAGGCGGCTGCCTTTCTGGGGAGGTTACAGCCACTTTCCCCCCACACCCCTGAGGTTCCTGCCTGCCCCAGAATATCCCACTACTGGCCATCCGGCCTGAATTCCCCGTCAGGGCTCCTAGGGGAAGGCTTCAAGGCCTCTGCCAGAGAAGGGCTTCTACTATCTAGAGGGCCCTGGAGGAAGGATGGCATTCCACTCTCAACCTTGCACCTTGCAACCCCCCAGGGCATAGTCTGCCTTTCTGTAAAAAAAAAAAAAAAATACAGTGAGTATTTAAACTTTAAAAGATTACAGTAAGAGACACATTGCTGTTGACCCCCCTCAGAAATCCCCCTTGCTTCAGATGCTGATGCCATCATTCCAGACACTTCCTGAAGCAGTTCTGGAGGTCTTTTGTGACTGTCTTTAGTTGTGCTGTTTTGTCTGCCTCGGTGTCCTGTATCCATCCAGATAGTTTACCTTTCATGGTCACTTTGACGTGAGGGAGTGTCAGAAGTTGTGTGGTACTGCAGTGTTTCACATGCCTGTCCTTGCGATGGGTGGTAGATGGCAGCAGCTTACTTTGTACTTTTGACCATGCCTCAGAAAGACATTCACAAAACTGGACTTCCACAACTGTCTTAGAAAGTGGCAAGAACACTGGGATAAGTGTACAGGAGGCATATTTTGAAGGGGATTAATGACAATTTGTCTTTTACTGTAATAACACTGCTTGTATAGCATGACAAATAATACCTAACATGGAATTTACCAATTTAACCATTTCTAAGTGTACAATCCACGGCCTTGAGTCCAATCGCAGTGCTACAGTCAACACTACCATTTGTTTCTAGAAATTCTTTGTCCTCAGTAGAAACTCTTAACCAGCAAGTCCCCATTCCTCCCTGCCTTTAACTTCTGGTAGTCTCTGTTCTGTTTTCTATTTTTATGGTGTTTCTATTCTAGATACCTCAGATAAGTGGAATCTTACAATATTGGTTTTATGTCTGGTTTATTTCACTTACATCTTCAAGTGTTTCCTCCCATGCTACAATCTGTGTTAGAATTTCACTCATTTTTTAGGCTATGTTATATCCAATTGTATGTAAATTCCTTTTTTATCCCTCCATCTACTGGTTGGCACTCAGTTTGCTTTTGTCTTTTGGCTGTGGTGAATAATGCTACTGTGTTGTGTGTGTGAGTATGTGAATATTGGTTTGGGTCTTTGCTGTCAGTTTTTTTGAAACTCAGCAGTGAAACTGTGGATCTTTTGTTTAAGCTAAAGTGCTGCCTTACAGTCCCTGGATGGCTGTACCATTTAACCATCGTACCAGCAATGTATGAAGGTTCCACTTTCTCCACCCCACCACCAGCCTTTGCTGTTTTTCTTTCTTCTTTTTTGACAGCAGGTGTCAAGGAAAAAAATTTTTTTTAAATTCCCAGTGTCATTCACAGGCTGTATGGTGGATTCGGAACTATTCTCCTCTTGAGCTTTGGTCCTGTCATCTTAGGGTCAGACTGGTTGGTTCCTGTGGTCCCTAAAGGTGGTGGTCACCTTTGGGGCATCAGAAGCACCCCAGCCAACTTTGGCAAGAAAGAATGGAGCAAAGCAGATGGAAGCTGGCTAATGAAGCAAGCCATGTGACACGAAGCAGCTGAGCCTCTGCTCAGCCCTCACTGGTTTTCGGCTGAGCGAGGTTAATTGGAGAAGACACCAGAAATTGAAGAGCTGGGTTCTAGTTGCTGCTCTGCCACCTGTTTCTGGATTAACCCACGTGGGTAACTTCATTGCTAAGCCCCAGTCTTCTCTGCTGTATGAGGGCAGCTATTACCTTCTTGCTCTCCACTCAGAATGTCAGGATCTAAAAAGGTAAAATTTAAAAGTGTAGGATTCTTAATTGGATCTCTGAAAAAAGCATAGTTTCATACTCCTGCAAGCACCTGTGAACAGTGTTCTCTTCAGTCTACAGCCATCCATCATACTGAAAGGGAAGCAAAAAGAGGAGGCCAAACTTCTCTCCCCACTTTTTAAAGAGTGTTTACTCCATTCCGTGCATGAACAATTAAATTTTAGGAAAATCTCTAAAATTGTAGAGAAACCCGCTTTCATAGGTTCAAGAAGCTACTGCTGGATATATAGCAGTGCAGGGAGAAAGCACCAACCCCGAGGTTGTGAGAAGGTTCTTCAAGTTCAGGGTCCCAGGAGGGACTTGCAGAGCTGGGAACCGCTGCTGTATTGTTCCAGTCTTTTCTCAGGAGCATTGTGTGACCTTCACCATTCATCTACCAAGCCACACCCTGGAAAGGCCTATGGACTTCCCAGCTCATCCCTGGCCTCTGGGCAGGCCTGGGGCCCATGCCCTCCTCTGCTGCTCTTGAGTATTCATTGCCTTCCTCTTTGCTGACCCCTCCCTACTTTATTTTCACTCTGTCTTTCTGCCTCTCCACCAGATTCAGATTTTCCCTTAAATCAGTCTTTGATCCTCAGTTTTTCCTTATGTATGCCATCTCCCATCCTTCCTCCTAATCAATAATCCTGAATCATTAATTTGCCTATTGCACATTTTCACCCTACACTTCACATTTTGTAAACAGATTTTTCTTGTTTCCCTCAAACTTGCTCTCCATTTTTCCTCTCCTTTCCTGTCAGTATGCATAAAAATCATCCCTGCATTAGATGCTCATTTAAAAGTCCACTTGCTCAGTCTTCCTGCTAATAACATGCAGCTGTTGCCAGACCAAGTTTGATTCCAAAGCCCATGTGATAGGCACCATTTCATTCTGCTGAGGGGCAAACAAGGAGTTGTGTTTAAGGAGGAAGTTTGAAGGCCAGGGGGACTGTTTGGCTCCACTCTACTGGCCAGCACCCCAATGCTGCAAGGAATAAGGTGGAGTGTGATGGAACAAGACCTAGGTTCAAATTACGTCTCTGCTGCTGGTGAGGCCGTGACCTGGAACAATCACTTAATTTTCTCCCCGAGTTTCCCCATGTACTGTAAAAGCATTATAATACTCACTGGACGGAGCTGTCATAAATACTAAATAATACATATGAAAACATGTAACACATGGTAAGCGTTGAATAGATATTGGTAAAGTCTGAACTCAGTTGGAGGGGCACTAATATAAAGGGCTGGTTCTTCAATTCTGTGCCCCAGAAACAAAAGCATGTAGCTGGCAGCCCTTGACGTCTGGCTCTCTGCAGCACTTGTGGTGAGGGATGGATGGGGTGGCCCTCAGGGAGGAACTTGCCTGTTTGAACGACAGGGCACACTTGCTCTATACTCCCCCCTCCACTGCTGAGAAACAGTTCGAGCTGAAAAGCCCCAAATCACTAGGGGAGTGGCTAGGAGCTGGCTCTGTAGCAGCTGCTAATTAGGAAATCCTATTCCTGGCTGTGTTCGCATCCCTGGCGGTGCTGGTTTACAAACAGATGTTTTGGAACATTAAGATGCTACAGAAGGGGAAGTTGTCAACTCCAGGAGGAAGAGACTAGGCAAAGCAATGAAACTCTTCTTGATTTCCATTCAAGGTACAAGGGAAAGTTATGGCCTGACATAGGATCAGAGGGAAGGATGGTTTTCAGCTCAAAAGAAACCTGAGAAATGGGACCTGCCAGCTCTAGTATCTGGCTGCCTGCTGTGGCTCCATTGTCATGGTCTGTCATTGGGGTTTGAATTATCATCTCTGACCACCTGGGGGAATTGGCCTGGGGGGGGCAGGGTGATGAGTAGCCCTAGCCTCTCCTAAGCCTTTGGGACACAGCGCGTCCCAGAGAACTCCCCAGTAGTATCTACTGGGGCACAGCCTCTTCCTGGCACCTCACAGTGGGTCCAAGTTCTGCAGCTTGAGGCATCCTCTCTCCAGGTAAAGAGGTATACTAAACTTAATACTGTGGTTGTCACCAATCCAGGCACCTGTGGTACACACTAAGAAGAGGGTAGAATATAACCACAGATCACCAGGTCTCAGATCAACAGAGTCAACAGAGCTGGTTATTGGCCGCCTCTCTCTTACCAGACCACCTTTTAGTTATAGCTACAATATGTAATGACAGAGGTTAGGCATCTGGGGGCCAAGTGTTCAGTGCACAGCTAACCCCATCAGTCCTTCACTGTGTCGTCCAAAGCCACTCACATGCTTATGTTTCAGAAATGTCATGGAGTTCAACCTACCCACATCATTATTGGCAATTTCCAAGAGCCTCTGTGTATTTAAGGTCTTTAGACTCACCTACTTAAGATGAAGCAGTCTGGGACCATTGAAAGCTCCTACTTCCCAACCATTTTTCTTTTTCCTAGGAGACATAAGATAGTAATAATAATACCATTTTGAGACTTAACATTTGCACTTAATATAAGGTGGACATAAAACAGTTTCAATAATATTTTCATTTAGCCCTTCAAAATTTTGTTTTATAATTAATCTGCTTCCTAATATAGAAATTTAGGTTTTTTCCAATTTTTATTATAAACATGGCTTTGATAAACTTCCTTATATCTAACACTTTATGCACTTCCTTAACAACTACCTAAGAATTAATTTCCAGAAATGAAATTATTAAATCAAAATATATGCCTATTTTTAAGATTTTTGTGATAGGTTACTAAATTTCTCCTTAAAAAGCCTGTGCCAGTTACTGTACATTCTTACCAACATTTTTGAAAGTGTTCATTTTCTGTACCTGCAATGGTATATTATTTTTAAATATTTGCCAAATTGATAAATACATACAAATGTAAAGTTTTGCCTAGTTCAAACTTTATTTATTTTCTTTTAACAATACTTTAATGTATTTATTCTCCACTTACATATTTTCCTTGGTGAATTGTACATTCATGTTGCTAAGAGTTGTAGATGTCAGGGATTTTAAAAGTTGTCTTATATTAAGGATGCTAACACTTTTCTAAGGCTCTACGGGTATTTACTATGGTATGTTATTCAACATTTAAAACGTTTAGTTTTTATTTGTGTTAAAGTAACATAAAGATCAAGTTGATTTTACAAGGGTGTCACAAAAGCCCTGACCACCCCACTGTCATTTTCTGCTCCCCAGATTCAACCCATTTTTTTCAACTCTTTTAATTGATTCATTTACTAATTTTGACCATATCTCTAAACAACATGTATATATTGCTATGTGTTCATTTTTTGGTTTTGAGCAATATTGGTTAATTTTGCTCTGGAAATTTTATGTTATTCCAAACTGTCAGTTCAGAAGTGATTCATTGTTATCTTTTAGGTCAACTTGAGTTCCTTAAGTGCATTTTTCACACAACTCCAAGTTACTCTGGTTGTCCTACACCCACACTATTCTGATCATCTCTCTGCAGACAGTTATCGTCTTGTTTTATTAATCCCACTGATGAGAAATTATTTTTCTTAAATTTATCTATGCACATATTTAGATTTATGAAAATATTTGCCACTTTCTTTTCTCAGTTATGTCTTCTTACATCTGACATGTCATCTAGGATTGTTTTTCTTCTTGAAATCAATTCTTTATAATTTCCCTTAGTGGAAGTAGCTGATAAGCTAAGTTTTGACTGAAAATGTTTTGATATTTTTAAAAGATAGTTTTTCTGAGAATACAATTCTAGTTTTTTCTCTTTCTTACCATATTGAAGATATTTATGCACTTTTAGCTTTCATCTTTGCTGTTGGCCCAACTGCCACCTTATTGTAGATGATTTGCCATAATTTTTGTTAGCTTTTAAGACTTAGTCTTACTCTGTGGTTTCCTGCAGTTTCACTGCAATGTGAGTATTTATTTATTTTCTATATAGCCTCTTAAGACTTTGTTGAACTTCCCTTGAGGATTCTTATGCTTTGTATTACTTCTGGAAAATTCTCAGCCGTTATCTTTTTTGCATGTACCTGTTAGCTTTGTCACAAGTGAGATAAAATATCCAACACTTACAACTTACTTAAAGGAAGAGAGGTTTAATTTGCTCACCATTTCAGTCCATCATCTGCTGCCTGCAAGGTGGAAATCATGGTGAAAAAGCATTAAAAAGAGAGAGCGCGCGCAAAACAGCTTAGTTCATGGCAGCCATGAAGCAGGGTAGGGGGAAAGTATCAGAGTAGATGTGGTAAGGAACCAAGGCCATGCTCGAGTCACCCATTCCCACATGGGAGTGTGCTTTGTGCTTTTTCTAATATCCTAGGTGTTTCTTAATCCGTTGTAGTTGACATATCAGGATCAACAGTTACATTGTATACTGCCACTTCTTGCCTTCTGTTCTCCTCCGAGAAATTCACTTAGATGTGTGTTGGACTTATCTTCCTTTTCTCTTCTTGTTCGTACGTCTTTGCTTTTCAGTACTGGCATTCTCTTACCTCCCTTCTAATTCTCTCTTCAGCCATTTCAAATATGTTGTTGAGTTTCTTCATTTTAATTATTGTATTTGTCATTTCTAGAATTTCCATTAAAGTTTATTTCAAGTATTTGGGGCATTATTTATAGTCTCCTTTTTTTCTTATGTCTCCTAATGTAATTGTATATACCTGTATTGTTTGATAATGCTAGTATTTGAAGTCTTTGCTTACTAATTTGCTTTTGTTCATGGAGGCCTTGTTTTCATCATTTTGTGATTTTTTTTTTTTTTTTTACTTATTAGAATTTTATCAGTAAATGACAGAGATTGACTGGAAAGTATGTTCATCTAGACAACATTTGTAGTTAATTTCAGTTAATTTCTCCCATATCCCTGGAGGTACTATTATTAGGACCACTTCTCCACCTTCACATTATTCATGATGTGTGTGTGTGTGTGTGTGTGTGTGTGTGTGTGTGTGTGTGTGTGTGTGACTGCGTGCGTGCAGTGCACCTATGGGTATCTGTATTTGAGAAACAGCTTGCTTTTTATAAAATCTACCTATTGAAAGAATATAATTGAGTGTCTTTCAGTATATTCACAAGGTTTAGGTCACTTTTCAGTACATCCTCAATTTGAAGTTCAGATCACACAGGTAGAGTGAATTTGTGCTGTGACCCACATAGGGTCTAGCTTTGTGGTTATAAATCTTTTTCCCCTTCCTTCCTCCCTCCCTCCCTCCCTC